GCTGCCCATCCAGCCCCTCCTTGTCGGCGGCAGGATGCTGACAGTCCCAGCACTGCGCCCTGGATGAACCTCTTCCCCTGCCTCTGCAAACGCCTGCCCTGTGCAACAACCGCCAGCCGGGCCACTGCTGGGGGGTGGCGCAGCAGCTCCAGAGCAGAAAGTGTCTCCATCCTGAGCCAGGGCCGGGCGGGTTCGACTTGCTTCTGTGCAGCAGCTCAGTCCTGGGGCACGAGGGTACATGTGTGAGAGCCTGCAGGGCCAGGGGACTCTGCCCCCCACCCTGCCTGCCGGCCCCCTGCCCCACGGAGGTTTCCAGCCGGGCCACTGCTGGGGGGTGGCGCAGCAGCTCCAGAGCAGAAAGTGTCTCCATCCTGAGCCAGGGCCGGGCGGGTTCGACTTGCTTCTGTGCAGCAGCTCAGTCCTGGGGCACGAGGGTACATGTGTGAGAGCCTGCAGGGCCAGGGGACTCTGCCCCCCACCCTGCCTGCCGGCCCCCTGCCCCACGGAGGTTTCCTGTGGCACATGCTCTAAAGCAGCCGAGTTCTCCCGCTCCGGCTGGAGTTCGCTCCTTTCCCGTCCGGCCGGCAGCCACGCAAACACCCCCCGCAAGTGGCCACACAGGTCCCAGGCCCTGCTCAGGCTGGTTCGTACTCGCCCGGCGCAGTGTGTGGGAACTGCTGGGATCCCAGGATGTCTGACCCAGAAACCCACAGGCTTTCTGGGGGGCGGGAGACCCCTGTGGAGCAGGCCTGGGCCCCTGCTGTCCAATGGGGTGTCATTTTCACTCGGGAGCGAGCAGCCCTGGGGTCAAGTCTCCGCCCTTCGTTGCCAGGCTCAGCTTCGGTGCCGGGGACACGGGCGGAAACCCAGAGTCGCTTCTGTCAAGTGTGGGCACAGGTGTCACAGCAGGTTGTGAGAAGGGGATTTTGCCCTGATAGCTCCCCACTGTCACCAGATAAAGAAACAGATCTCAAGATGGGTAGAGAAAACTGAAGTCGCACCATCCTGTCTGGCCCGAAAGTGCTTACCCATAGTTGAGGTTGTGGATTCCTCATTCTATGATCCTTGTCTCTACACGTTCCTATTGTTACACTGTGCGACCTCTGACTGGTTTGTAACTGTTTCTGTCTGCTGGGGGGTGTCATTTTCACTCGGGAGCGAGCAGCCCTGGGGTCAAGTCTCAGCCCTTCGTTGCCAGGCTCAGCTTCGGTGCCGGGGACACGGGCGGAAACCCAGAGTCGCTTCTGTCAAGTGTGGGCACGGCCCCTGCTCCCCGCTGGGGTCAGAAGCAGCAAGGGCCCCATGCAGAGTCGGCGTCGGTCGCTGCAGGGCCACGGAGGTCCCTGGGCGCAGCACCGGGTCTGACATTCACCCCGGCCGTGCCGGGGGCCGGGACGGGGCACAGCTGGGAGCGAGATGAATGTCCCTCTGTTACTGGCATCCACACCCCAGGGCTCCCCGGACAGCCACACTCAGTCTCCATGTGGCCGGCTGCCATCTGGCCAGAGGCCCAGCAGTGCGAGACAGCCACCGGCTCGGGCCGCACGGCGCATGTCTCCGTGCGAGCGTGCGGCGGACGTGAGCGCCAAACCAAGGGAGCCATTGTCTCCCGAACAATGACGGGCACAAGCAGCCCGGTGGCTTGCACGGCGCCAACGCAGTTAAAGAGCCCGCTCCGAGAGGGCTGCGCTTGCTGGGCGCGGATGCGCCTTCGCCACGGAATTCCGTGACACTGGGCTGTGCCCGTAGCGTGGGAGGGGATGGTTTGGGAGCAGGTTGAATCCCACGGGCAAAGGAAGGGAATGGCCATAATTAGCGGTGTCATTAGCTGAGGCCAAGGCAGAAACAGGTTGGTGGGAGAGAGAGAGAGAGAGAGTGTGTGTGTGTGTGTATGTGTGTGCGTGTGTGTGTGTGTGTATGTGTGTGTGTCTCTGTGTGTGTGCGTGTGCGTGTGTGTGTGTGTGCGTGTGTGTGTCTCTGTGTGTGTGTGTGTGCGTGTGCATGTGTGTGTGTCTGTGTGCATGCGCGTGTGCATCCTCCCCTTCCCTGCTCTCTCCCCACAGGACATGTTACGCTCTCACACACACGTGTGCAACTCTCACCGACGTCGGGCGGCCGAGGGCGTCAGCCGCTAGGAGGCTGGGGATGACTCTGGCCCCGCGTTCAGGGGGGCCCGACTGGCAGGAGCTGAGCAAGGCGGGGGTACCTGTCCAGTTTTGCTCCATCCCCAAGATCCATTTCTCCCAGGCCACTTGCACTTCCACCCCAAGGGCTTTCTCCAG